TTTATGTCTCCAGTATCTACTTAGCATGTTACCTGGCACTGAGGTGTTCTGAAAATACGGAACGAACAGACACAAAGCTCTTCTGGCATTAACAAGGCCAAGCTGGAGTTCTTCAAATCCCAGGTCCTTGGTCGCCAAGCGTGGAGCCTCCAGCACGTGCAGCAGCCTGCAAACCTGGGGCTGGAGGGTGGGGGTGTACACAGCATGGTGCCTGCAGGGCTAGAAAGTGTCCCCCTAGTGTGTCCTGCAACCACTTTCCAAATGCCCAGAGATGCTGTTTTGAATAAACTGCAAATTTATTTAAAAGCTTTACAGAAGCCTCTTGTCATTCTGTATTTCTCAATAAATGGATACTAAAAAACAGCTGATATCAGAGGGCTATCTCTGAAATACTTTTAGGAGAAAGCAGAGAACACCTTCATGACCTGGGAATAGTCAAGGAGTTCTTAAACAGGATCCCCAAAGTGCTAGCCAAAAGGGAAAATAAGGATAAACTGGATTATATTAAGATTAAAAGCTCCAATTCATTAAAAGAACTTGATTCCAAAGTGAAAGTCAAGCCACAGAGCAGAAGGTCTTTCCAACAGACATAGTCAGCAACAGACTCACGCCCAAAACAAGCTATCAACAGGAAGAAAAAGGCTGATAAACTCAACAGGAAAACAGGCAAAACTTCACCAAAGAGGATAGCTGGGTACTATAAAAATATAAACAAACATCCAGAAAAGTGCTCAACTTCAGGAACCGCAGTGAGTGCAGACCACTGCCCTACCCACCCGGGCCGGACCCCTGGCATCCTCAGCCACCACCGGCGTGACTGCGGCCGGCAGGGCCCCTCGGGGGCTGCTCGGCAGGAGACTGTCCTGAACACGTGCCTACCCAGTGACTCAGCAATTCTCCCGAGTATAAACACACCTAACAAAAGTGCGTTCATGCTGTGCACATACTGGACACGAAGCCGAATGTCCACAGAGGTTCTGCTCGTAACAGCTCTAAACTGGAAGCGACCACCCAAACACCTCTCGACATCATGGGTAACCACACCGTGGTCTTCTCCCTCCCGCCCTCCTCGGACACACTCCAAAGTGCTGAGAATGAATCACCTGCTGATGTGGACACACCTACCAAATACAATGGTGCGCTAAAGAAGCCAGACACAAAGGAGTAAATCCACTATGTTTTAAAAAGCAAAAAAGTATACAACCTGGCAAAACAAGAGGAGTTAGCAGTTGGGATGGTGGCTCCCTGGGATGGCAAGGCTCCTGGCCTGGGTGCTGGTTATAGGGGTGCACTCGGTCTGTGAAAATCCCTTGAGCTTTATACTTCTGATATGAGCACTTTTTTTGTTTTATTTTGTTTTGGTGGAGAGGAGGTAGCCAGGTTTATTTATTTATGTTTAGAGGAGGTGCTGGGGATTGAACCCAGGACCTGTGCATGCCAAGCATGCGCTCTACCCCTGAGCTCAGCCCTCCCCCCGATGTGAGCGTTTTTCTGTGTGTGGCTTATGCTTCAACAGAGCATCAGTGATTTCACAACACCTAGTAAATAATAAACTCATTTTACATCTCTCTAAACTTTCCTAATCTTTTTGAATATGTATTTTTTATTTTTCACAGTTAAAGTGAGTATGTAAGGGCTAGTTTTTATATAAGAATTTTCATTGTTGGTATAGTTCACTATCTTCCAGTTTTTAATGCTGCTAAAGAGCACTTTAAAAAAATAGTGATAACTTTAGTACTCATGACACCACACACTTAGATATTTTACCTTGAACTGTGAAAAATTCCTGACTGGCTTCGTGTTGCCTTTCAAAAATGCATCTCGGTAACTGCTATTTACAATCTAGGAAGACAATGAATATCACGACTTTTTAACATTGAAAGGAAGGGGCTGGACTTGAGCTTGCAAACCAGCCGTCCAGCGGCCACCCTGGAGGCACATGGGCTTGGGAGGCCTGCACGTTCCTCTGAAAATATTTGAATCAGTGGCCATTCTAAACAATGTGACGTGTTACATAAAATTCAGATCTCTGGTTCTCTGAACAAACTAAAAACATCACAAAATAAAAACAAAAGCAAAAATAACCCCAGCAACTGAGCAACCAGGAGCCTACATTCCAGGGTGTCCAACTGCTGGGGCCGGGCCTGCGCTTGCCGGCCGTCAGGGTCACCCGGGCTCGCTGCAGCCCCACGTCTCAGCGCTTGCCCTGAGCCTGCTCCACTGGTGGGGCCCTGCCTGGCCCTGCAGAGTGCCAGGAGTTCACATTGGCCAAGTGCCCTTCCAGCTTCAGTCACCTCGGATCCCACCTAGACGGCGGCTCTCAATGAGCAAGGTCATGGTGCCTTGCTGGCTCTCTCCTGTTCTCCAGCCAGAAGTCTCATGTGTTCAGTTAACATGAATCCCAGGTCTCTGTACACATGCTCCATCAGATCTCAGCTCCAGTATCACCTCCTCAGAGAAGCCTTCCCTGATCACCTGCAGAAACTCTTTCACTTCACCCTGTGTTATTTTCTTCCTGCAACCGCTCATCACCTGAAAGGATCTCACTCATCTTTGTGTTCGCTGTCTACCTCCCACAACAGAATGTGCGCTCCGGGACAGCGGGGGCCGCGCTGGTCTCATTCACCGCTGCCTCCCCTGAGCCCGGCACAGCTCTCAATAAATATTTTGATGAATTTGAGTGAAATGAATAAACATAGATACAATCTGTAGAGGATCCCAAAGGTACCCAGCACCCGCTCTCCCATCTAATGCCATCATAGCAACACTTCTGGAAGGGGGGAGCCGTCTTACCTTTCATGAGCGAGTGCCTAGTATTAATTTTTGAGGGTTTCCTTCCAGTGGAATTACACACGCATTTCATTTCCCTTTATTTACTTTGTTCATTTTAAATGGCTTTGGACAACTAATTGAAACACATTTAAAGAGAGAAAGACGGAGAGGTGACAGCTTCCAGGACCTCGAGGCCCTGCACATTATTTATTCAGCAGCAAGGTTCTTTCTAGAAGGGCCACAGTCAGCAGCAGCAGCTCTCCAGCAATTACAGCATGATGTGAAAACCTGCCGTCACTCTTAAATTCTCAAATCTCATTCCACCGGGAACAATATCAGAGACCAGAAACTACTCCACATATGGGGAAAATTCTACCCAGCAAGCTAATTCTGTTTTAAGCTGCTCTGCACAGAGGAAACCCATAAAGCACAGAGATACTCACTAATTTCTATAAAGAGTTCATTTATGTTTATCGCATTTTTCGCGCTGGTCTCTACAAAAATTGCATGGATGGAGTCGGCGTAGTCCTTAGCGTCTCTCTCCGTGACTTCCCTGCAAGGCAACAAATCGCAAGTCAGAAATCCTACCCATCAAGAGCTTACTGTTACCCCATCGACCCAGTAAAGAACCGGATTATGACGACAAAGGCAGTCACAAATGGCTGGCAAATGCGCCTGGACACGTGGTTCTCCCAAATGTACCGTTTCTGCTAAACAGAACAGAACTCGGGACTGTAAGCAAGGCATCTAATGAAATGATCAGAGAATGACCGAGGTGTTTCTCCCTTCAAAAGTAAAAGCCCTGGCTCTGGAAATCATGGAAATGGTCCAGAGAAATTGCCAATAAATGTGCTTTTCTGAAAACATGCTTTCCCCATTCAAGTATCCTTATGTCATGGGAGCTGAGGGGTACACTGATCTCAGATAATGTCAAGTATGATGCAACCGACATTGAAATAAATTACACACCTGTCTTGATATATATAATACAACCTAATTAGCTCCAAATGTCTAAACTCTTAATTTGAGTTTGAAACTTCAGGACTCCAACCAAACAACAAAAAGGAATTTTTCAATGTCAGAGATAAAATAAAAGCAAGATTCTTATATTGGATACTGCTCTGCCAGAAAAGGAACACACAATCAGCGCTGTAATCTCCCGTCCTGGGGACTTACCTTACATCGATAAGATCACACTTATTTCCTGCAATGGCAACTACAATATTAGGCGGGCCGTGCTGTCGAAGCTCTTTTACCCAGTTCTTTAGTGTTGAAAACGTCTCCTGCAACACAAAGGAGGACAGCAACTGGAGACCGACGCCACCAGAACAGAGCTTTCAAAATAATCTAAAGAAAACGGCATGCAGGTCTTACTTCTTTTGTGATATCATAAACAATTATAGCCGCGGCCGACCCTCGATAGTACATGGGTGCTAAGGCACGAAACTGCAGGGGAGAGGGAAAAACAGACAACAAAATTGGGAAAACTGGTTAAATATGTTTTCTTAAAAGACTTTTAAGCCCATTATCCCTGCACAAAAGGTAATCTTTCTCTTAAGCCAAAGAAGATGACATGATGCTTTAAAGCAAATGAACCAGTAATTACCAAAGGCAAAAACTTTCAGTGTAACACTGAAATGCCTTTCAGAAGGTAGTTTAGAATACAGTTTTATAGGAATTAAATATGGTGCTATAAACAATTGTTTCAGCTAAAAAGGCTTTTTAATTGAACTCAATGCTATAATTCCCAAATTCATTTGTTCAACAGTCCTTTAAACTTTGGCTTCCCAAACTATCAAGGAGATAAAACCGATGTGGTAAATAGTTCTCCAGAGAAGTGGCTGCATTTGGGTGTCGTAAAGACAGCCCTGCAATCTAAATGCTGATTGTGCACAGAATTGAGGACACATTTACATGCATGACTCGGATGAGCTTGTAACTCGCTTTTTTGATATCTCCATGCATGTGGCAATTCCCAAGTGCGGGTCCATATCTCATCTCATTTACATGAATCTAACTCTGTATGCCGGGCACCTTCCCACCAATTGCCCCCCACCCCGTCCACGTCCACGTACAAAAGGGAGGGAGGAGAAGGAACGCGAGAGGAGGCACCATTTGAACAGTGAGGCTGATTTAGCAGGCTGTTTCTCTCGATGAGTGCAGGGTGGAAAGTGGGAGGCTCTTCCCAGCCAAGCTTGGCTCCCTGGCACGTGCACGTGTGGAGGGAGCATCCTGCTCAGTGAATGCGACGCCCGTGTTTACAGACAGGAGTTTCACCTCTGCTTGATTGCTGTCTTACACTCGACCTTGACACTTCAACCCTACGTATGATGTGACAGATACCACTGGGCTCCCCTCCTGCTCTCTGTTCTGTGTCTTCCCCACCAAAACACAGGGAGGAGCTGCCATCAGAAGTGAGCTCAGGACAATCCACATACAGAATTACAGATTCTGCAACTTATCCAGTTAGCTTAACTTTTGGCTTTTAAACTTTCCTATTAATCTGAATTTTATGAATGAAAGTGAAATTATGACTGTGAACTCCAGGAGGGAAGAGCGCATGTCTATTCAGTACACTGTTTTATCTCTAGGCCAAGGGCCTAGCACAGTGTAGATAAGCAAGAAGTGGTGAGTAAGAACGGCTTAGGGACAGGGTGACGTCAATCTAAATGCGAGACCCAGACATCTACACATACGAAGTTTGACTCGTCTCAGTGAGGAAGATCCCTGCCTCTGGGGTGAAAGCCTGATGACTTTCAACAAAATGTTACACTTCAGAGAGGAAAAAATAATAATAAAGGTTGTGAGCAACTTTAAAAAAAACTAGATCGTTGAGGGGAGGGTACAGCTCAAGTGGTAGAGTGCATGCTTAGTATGCACAAGGTCCTGGGTTCAATCCCCAGTACCTCCTCTAAAATAAGTAATAAAACCTAATTACTTCCCCCCTGCCAAAAAAAAATACAATAATAAATAAATAAAAATTCAGAAAAACCTAGATTATTAGGTGGAAAAGACTTTGGATTGCCTTCCATGGGGTAAGAGCACCAGGAGCCCACGGATGGAGCAAAGGAAGTGATGTCAGCCTTCACTTCCGATGCATTATGCTGGCAACACCGTTTACAGGGTGACTGGTTGGTTGGCTTGTCTGTTTGGTATTCAAATTTGTAAGTTAAAATTCAAGCAAAAAAGTGAAAAGACCTTAAGTTTGATAAAAGGCCTTACATTCTGGTAAAATGACAAATGTGTATGTATACATCCATCTAATAAGCACCACCCCACTGCGACCTAAAACATTTCTGTCAACACAGAAAGTTCCTGGGGATGGGGCAAAGCTCCGTGGTACAGGGCATGCTTAGCATGTGCAAGGTCTCAGGTTCAACCCCAGTGTCACCATTAAAATAATTAAAAAAATAAATAAAATAAAGATGAAAAAAATTATTTAAAAAAAGTAAAAAAGGGGGAAGTTCCCTAATGCCTCTCTTTTCATGCCCCTCGTTTATCCTTGATAATAACTCTTGTCTTCAAGTCTATTTTATTGGTATTTATTGATATTGATATAACCACAATGGTTTTCTTTCGCTTACGGTCTGCATTTAATATCCTCTTCCTCTCTCTTATTCTCAAGCCACCTCTGGCTTTATATGTAAGGTAATCTTCATAACCAGCATGTTGTTGGATCCTGGTATTTGATGCAACCTGACAACCTCCGCCCTTTAAATGGAATGTTCAGTCCCTTCACATTTAATGGATTCTCTAATATATTTGGTGTTTACTGATATTAGGCATACCATTTTGCTATTTGTTCCATTAAAAAAACAAAAACAAAAACAAACCTTTGTTCTTCCTTTCTTTTTGCATTAACTGAATACATTTTAGTACTTGACTTTAATGTATTAATTTGTCCACTGGTTTTTTAGCTATACTTTCTTGTATTACTTTTTAAGTGTCTGCTCCTGTACATATAATATACTCTTCTCACAGTTGACTCAGAATTTAAAATGCACCACCTCATGTAAAAGACCAGAATCTTGCGAGGGGCTAGCTCTCTTTATTCCACTGTGCTGCTGTCAGATGTTTTATGTCTACATATTACACCTATATATCTATACTGTAAGCCATACAATCTAATATCACAATTTTTGCATTAAATAGCCTGTAGCCGTTGAAGTAAGAAGAAAAAAGACGGCTATTTGTATTTACCATTTCTAGTGGTTATTCCTCGCTCTGGATCTGACTGACCATCTGGTGCCATTTCCCTTCAGCCTGGACAACGTTCTGGGATTGTGGCTGCTAAATCCTCTCAATTTTTGTTCTTCTAAAAGTGTCATTTCTTTGACTTCGTATTTGAAAGAATTTTGGCAGACTTTTTTTCTCTTTTTTTGCTTTCGGCACTTTAAAGACACCCTCCCGCGCACCCGCACCCCCCCCCCCCGGCGGCCTGGAGGGCCTGGAGGCCGCAGCGCTCACTGCGCTCGCTGGTGGTCCCTGTGTGCGATGTGTCTACACGCTCAGCTCTGATTTCAAGACTCTTCTCCCTAACTTTGGCTTTCAGCAGTTTGACTATGATGGACCCAGATAAGGTTTTCTCCGTACTTATGGGTTTGCTAAACTCTTAGATTTGCGTTGATACATTCCTTCAAATTTGGGAAATTTTCAGCCATATTTCTAGAAGCATCTTTTTTCCTGTCCCGCCCCCCTTCATAACTGCTGGGTCTCCAGCTACACATGTTAGACTGTTTGACTTCGTCCCTATGCTACTAAGACTATGTTCATAGTTTTCCACGCTTCCTCTGTCCTTCTGATTGGTTAAGTTGTTTTGTCACCTATCCAGTGGATTTTCCTTTTTCAGTATTACAGTTTTGAGTTTCAGCATTTCCGTCTGATTGTTAGTTGCCATCCTGTGCGAGATTCCCCATCTGTACTTAAGTAGAGGAGACTACTTTTCCTTTAAATCTCTGAACATATTTAGACTGTCTAGTTTCGGTCATCTTCGCTGAATTCAGTGTTAAAATCCTGGCTAATCACCCTGAGGCTGGTTTTACTCGTGGTTAGGGTGGACGGACTCAGGTCTGTCTTTAGTCCTAGGACGTGGTCTCTCCTCCTAAGACACAGCCCTTCTGAAGTTTCAAGGGAAGCCCAAGGTGAGTGCCAACCCCTCCCCATGGCAGGACTGAACTCCACAGCCTCCCCGGCCGGTGAGGGTCTCCGCTTGGCCTTGTACCGCCTCCAGCGGTGCTTTCTGCTGGGCTCCTTAGCACCTCTCCTGTGCAGCCATAATTTGGGGAGTTGAGAAAAGCCTTGAAGAGAATTTATAGGCAGATTTTGGGGGCTTCCTTCCTTGTCGGATCCATCTTCTCTGGGATTTGCCTCCTCTTTTTCCGGCTGCTCTCGCAACCTTAAACTCTGTCCTCAGGTTCCACAAGCTGGAAAGTCCCAGCTACCCTGCACTGCGAGGACGAGGGAGAGGCCTCTGGGGAAAAGCCACAAAATGCGAGCCTCACCCAGTGCTCTTGTCTTTTCCGTCTCTGACTGCATCTGGTTTCCTGGCAGTGCCTTCAGACAGTTGCCTTTTAATGTTTTGCCCAGAGTTCATATATAACTGTTAGCCTGTTACAAGCCATTCCACCATTACGAATCTCTTTCCATGTCCTTTTGGTGTAAAGAAAGAAGGTGGCAGCTTAAAAAGACACTCAGACGGTGTCAGCACATTTCTGTTCCCACTCTGGCTCTAGATCAGGGGTTGGCAAACTTTTTCTGGAAGGGACAAGACAGTAAATATTTTACGCTTTGTGGATTATATATCTCTGTCGCAACTACTCAGCTCTACCATGAAGGAGTAAACGTAGCCATAGACAATATGTAAACAAATAAGCATGGCTGTGTTCCAATAAAACTTTATTTATGAAAACAGGCAGCAAGCTGGGTTTGCCTTGCAGGCCACAGTGTTGACTCAGGCTCTAGACATTAAGCTACCTCTTCCTGATTTCAAATGTGAGAACCACTCCTTACATGGCCACTATGACAATGAACAAGTCCATGTCTTCCTGGTGCTCTGACCTCTAGAAACAGCCATCAGGAAAAACCACATTAAGATTCAGGGACATAAATCTTCAAGGACTGGATGCAGTGTCTAATAGACTTTGGTTAAGAAGCTTGCTCTTACATGATCACAGACAGCTGGCACGTATCTGAGATGCTGCTGCTACACTCCTTGTGCATTAATGACGCGGACCCGAGGTGCTTGTCTGTGCACGAGGCTGGGTCTGTCTCCATGCCACCACAGGGGTCCCTGTTAGTGAAGGATGACTGGTGGGCAAAGGTCACTTATAATGAATTCATTTAGGATAGCCAACAGGGATGAAGAGGTCTGACAAAGGCTCTATCTAAACAAAAAAATTATGAAAACAAGTTTCATTTTATCTGATGTTAGGAAAAAATTTAGGTTTACTATTGCAACAAGGAGCTAGCTTCCTGAGTGAACACAGAATCAAAGGTGATTGATCACTTGACCGTGATTCTTCTGATAAAACCATATGCTAGCACAATGTGGTATCTATCTTTCATTTCACGTTTGCCTCTCCTAGTCCTATCACAAAAAGGGAACTTCTACAAAATATTTGAGGACTCCATCGGTTTTCCCTAGGCCTCAAAATCTTTTGATACACAAATCATTATCTTCTGAAGCACGTGTATCATCATCCTGATCAGTAGCTTTCCCTTCGTTTAATTTAACAGGATCCCTACCATCAGTGGCCTTGTGTGACATCTGTGAAGCTCTCCTAAGTTATTTTCATTGGCTTAACGAAATCGCTTTACAATCAATGTGACTGGACCATAGGAAAGACAACCCACATGTGAAAACTACACACAGCAACAAATGCCAGGGTCAAATGGGGATAAGGTCTGAACAGCCAGTTCATCATAAGGGTTGTCATTTTGTGTTGACTTTTGGTGCCGTAATACACCTTATTACTATAGAGAATTGAATAATGAATATGCAAATAGCAGAAATGTTTAACTTGAGGCATGCAATACTCACATGGTAAAAGCAGGCGGAGGATCTGGCCCTCCTTACCTATGCCAAAGTAGGGCTGGCCATCAACTGACATATATCCGCTGGCAATAATATTGTGCACCAGGGGCTAGGAGCACAGACATGAAGACACTCCCTGCCCCCAAGGAGCTCACAGTCTAACAAGATAAACAAACAAGGGGACAGATGACAAGCCCGTGGGTGAGGAAAGCACAAGGCTGTTCAGGACACACAAAATATGCTAATTGGTCCAACCAGTATCTGAGCAGCAGCTCTGGGCCAGGCCCTGTGCTGGTCCTGGCTCCTACAGTGGACTGTCCCTGGGGAGAGCATCAGGAGGAGTATTCCCAACTACGACTTGGAAGGAGGGTCCCGAGGAGACTGAATAAGGGGCAGTGGAATCAAAGGAGTTCAGGCTCAGGTCTGAGCAAGGTGGGCGTATGGCCCATGGTGACTTGTCTGAGAAAAGCGGGGCTGGTGAGGAAAGCCCCCGAGGAGACATTTGCCCATGCGTTTTCTAGGCTGACGGTGGGAGGGAGGGCACTCCAAGCAAAGGGGACAACAGGACGTGGTGTGAGGGTAGGGCTTGCACGGCGCATTGGAGAACTCTAAGCAGTTTGGTCCTAGAGGATAAACTGGTGGGAGGAGGAGGGATGGAGAGCCTGGCCGAAGTTGGCACAGCCAGGGCCCATCTTAAAGGCCTTACCCAGGACAAACCGGCAGGACAAGCTCACAGATGTGCCTGCCATGACCCTCACAGCATTTCAAACAGTTTGTGAGTAGCTGTCAGATGTTTAGCTCTCCTTAAACACTGATCTGGCAACCTTGGACGTGAACTTTTGTCTGGCAGCAACCAGCTGGAGCGAGGGCTCGCCGCTGGCGCCCTCTCCTGACTGTCCACCACGCGGGGTTCTGCCGGGCAGTTCTCGGGAGCCTGGCCAGCCTCGTGTGCATTCCCTGGGCGAGCCCCTGGAGGGTTAAGGGATGAGCTTCAAGTTGGGGTGAGGCAGATCTGCGTCTCCGAGCAACTGTTCCTGGTGCAGAACCAATTAGGAGCGGGGAAAGAAACAACAGGCAGGCAAACCAGCTAAGTACAAACCTTCACAGTATCCTGCTATTACTGTAGCAGGTAAGGGAGAGGCATAAGCCTCTGTTATTCTTCTTTTATGTTCCAGAAAGAAGAGATGTTATACATCACGTGTCTACCGGGAGGGACAGACTCTCATTCAAGCATAATGGAATCTATATCAGAGTATGATTCTTTATGATGAGGGTTTTACTGTATCATCAAATATATGGGAGGGGTAACTGACACGTGGGATTCAGTGAAAGGGCACAGATATTACTAGTGTGAAGAGCCACGAGTTCGTGGCTAACAGGACAGATGCCAGGGCTGGGTCTGCAGATAAATTCCGGAAGACTCTGGGAAGCAGCCCTCCTGAGGGATGGAGGAGTGATGGGCAGCAAAGGCCCAGCCCCACTGGAGCACGTCCAACGACGCAGGGGCAGTGGGGAGCTAAGCGGACGCACGGCAGGTGAGGAACTGGACACAGGGCATGACCTCAGGCATTTAAAAAAAACAGAAGAAACCAAACAGAGCAAACGTAAGACATTAAGTCTGTACAGATACACGCTGTCCATCTAGGACAACGGTAATGGCTCGTTTTGTTTTCTTCCCTTTGTCGATGATTCTTGTCAGACTTTACACCGTACGCAGCAGCTACACTGTCTTAGATAAGACCGTGATGACAGACGGTCTCTCCTGATCACTCCTGCTATACTTCTAAGAGCTTAAGATAGTGCCATGCATCCATCAGATGTTCTGTTCTGATAGCACTGCTTGAAAACGAAATTAAACAGTAGCTGAATAATGGGGTAGATGCCAGACACACCTCGACAGGGAAGTCAGACTGAGGACCCAGAGGGATAATGAGGCAGCAGGCAAGTGTCTGGTTCCTTTCCCGCCTTCCCAGCCTGTCCGACTTGGGTGGGCGTCCCCAAACCCCAATATGCACGGTGCTGCAGCGGCCCGGGTCCCACTTCTGGTCCAGGCCCTTCCTCAGGCAGATAGCCGTCACGGACAACTTTATCATCAGGCACTTATTAGGTATCCATTGCACGGTACTGTGTTCGCTCATTCGTTTTACTTAAATCTCAAACTTTATATGCTGTAAAGCTCCCTCTTTAGCTTTTAAACAGCAGCTATAAATGAGATGTGCTTAACTCTTCCTTTTTAACCACTAATGCTTTTCTATCTTTGCTTGAGGGTGGAGCCCTGAAGTACAAACACAATGCTCTGAGCAGGGTTTTATCAGGCCTATTGGTCAGCATTTACTTGAAGACACTGGAAAGGATAAAGATGCCCTCAGCGCCCATTTCCACTTTCCTCATCAGCGGATTTTGTGGCTCTGACGGAAAAGGTAAGGGCTGGCCGACGCAAACGGCAATCAACGTGCCTCCGGCACAGAGAAGAGCCGCGAGCGATGCAGGGTGACAGGAGTGTCGGCAGCTTCACTGGAGCTGCAATGTGAGCCTCAGAAAAACACACAGCAAATGAAAGAGTGACTTACTCGTTCTTGTCCAGCTGTATCCCAGATTAGGAATTTATGTAGCTCGTTTTGGTACTGGACAGTCTTGGTCATAAAAGATGCCCTATAAAGAGAGACCTAAATGATCAGAATACAGTTATTTAAAGCACGTCACCAGCCCCCATCGGAATCACCAGTTAGACTTTACGCTCCAACCCCCACTCCACACTCTATCCTACTTGTGGTCCTCCCTGGAGTATTTAGGAGATGCTCAGATGCTGGCTGCATGTTCTGTGTCAAAATTCAGTATTGGGCACATCTGTCCAGCACCAAGAAGGAAGGGTTCTTTGGCTTGTGACTGCCTATGTGCCATAGCAAGGGACCAAGAGATGATCTGACCCAGACATCAGCCTCCTTTGTAATATACAGAAGCTGTTATTTAAAAAGATGGCACCATGGGAAAACTTTCTAAAAAAACCTGTGTGTTCAGGAAATGAGTGCGCTAGTAACAAGGGTTTGTCCTCACGCCATTCCCAAGCCACACAACCACAAAAAGAGCTAGCATAATACCAGACTTCTGCCAAACAAGAAGTAGGAGACAGCTGGAGAAGCGACACCCCCCACCCCGGCTCACCACCTCTGTATTCCAGGAACAGAGCAGCCCCTCAGCTGAGCTGCCCCCATCAGTCCTCAGGGCCTGTCCCGCCCTCAACGGGGGCAGGAACAATGACACGCAGGGCTTACTGCTCACTCTGAGGGACCACTCTACTCGGGGGCCTTTGAAGGCAGGGGTTCCTATTATTTTTTAGGGGGTGGGGGTTTGGAGACTCTCTGAGGAGCCAAGTTGACCCGGAATATGTGCCTGGACATTCTAGGGGCTCCTGGGCTATCTTCTATTCCTCATCCTACCCACAAAGCGCTCTCCCGGAAGTCCTTTGTCTCTCAGTCTCCTCAACATGTTCCAGTCTGGCTCAAGAACCCGGAGATGATTATGTCTTCTTTTCCACTGAGTAAGTCTCCTGGGGCCAAGGGTTAAGTTGTACTCTTGGAATCAGACCCTAATCATCCTAATCATGACAACGAACTCAATGGCTAGACATTTTCAAATATGCTGGATCTGAAATATTTTCGAGAGTCAAGTGACAGATACATAATTTTCAAGAAAGTGCAAGTAGAAAATGACTTTCTGAAGTACTACTGAGCTTAGAAAAGTATCAGAATTCTCAGTTTTAGAAGCAAACTCTGATACAATAAATTCCTGTTAATATTTATATAAATTTGTGGGTGACTGTGATAAGGAAGGGGAAGTGAAGGAGGAAGCAAGATCGCAGGTATCAGATAGCAACTACTTACTGGATATTTACTTACTGGAAACTTACCCCTTGGTATCCTTAGCAAAGTGCTTTATGCACAGAAGGTGCTCCATAAATGGTTACCGCATCAAGAACTTTTGGCGACTCATTATGATTAAATCAGGATGAGCAACACGATTTCTCACTTAGGAAAGACTGAAGCATCGCAGAAAGTCTTGTTTATTATGGAGATTAAATGATACGATGTACGTGAAAGTGCTCTGCAAACTGTAAAGCACTAACCCTATGCAAGGTATTATGAGTATTTTTTTTAAAGTAGCTTCAGGAAATGTTTTAATGTGGACTTTGCAATTAGTCCTAAAAGCTTGCAACACAAAGCTCCGTCAAGTACGGCTGTGGTGTTAGATTTAGAAGTGACAAAGGGCATCTGACAGAGACCCATTAACTGAGCCAACGCGCCCAACACGCCTGTTTTGGCTGCTCAAAGAGCAAGAGAAGAAATGTGCTTCAAGTAGACAGAAAGCTGGCAAAGCTACAGGCAACAATGAAAAGGGAACGCTTCACTACTGGACCAGAATTGGCTGAAGTTCAGTCTACCTGCTAACCGTTTCGCCTTTGATGAAAGCACAGATTCATTACTCAAGAGAAAAGACAAAATGGCAGCTGTAAAGCAATGAAAGTATCTTAAAGGATTAAACCCAACTCCTCGTCTCTGACCCTAGAGCATCCTGCCACCTCCCCTCCAAGGTCACTCGCAACTCAACTCCTTGCTGCCGACGCTGAGGTCCTGTTGTGTCCAAAGCTCTCCACGTGGGTCTCCTGGCACCAGGGTCTGTTGGCCGCTTGTCCTTTTATCCTCAGCGCCACTTGCCCGCACTACCAGTTCCTTAGGAATCTCATCTGTCCTGTCTCAACCACCCACAAAAAACTCTACCGCCTTCTTCTGCACACAGGCGGGGTGGCCACTTTGCTGGAGGAACTTCACAGAGCTACGTGGACCAGTGTGAAGACTATCCTGCTTCAGCTGGACCTGCCTCAGACCTCGTATTCCACACAGCAATTAGTCCACACTCTTAACGACTTTTTTCCAGCTCCCTGCTACCTCCTGCTATCCCACTTTTCCGGGCAACAGCTCTTTTCAGCCTTCTCACAGAAAACAGAGGTTACAAGCCCTAAGTCCCCCCAAATATCCCCCAGTCACCCCTCCCCGCTTGAGAATAAGCCAATTTCTACTCATACCAACTGTGATTTCCACTTTTTTGACGCTGCTGAGTCAGAGATGTCTTTTCTCTGATTCACCCATTGCCACTGCCCTGCTCATGATCCCAGCACACCCTTCCTGGGCCACTGCAGCCACCAAATTGGGCTCTTCCTCCCAGAGTCAAATCCTTCCAACTGTTCCTGTTTCTACCTCCATGCCGACTGTCCCATCTCCTTGAATATTCTTCCCTTGGCTAAATGCTCCTCATTCTTTAGGTCTTAGCTCAACTGCCAACCATCACGGAAACCCAAGCTGGGCAGCCCTGCACCCCAACTTCACTCTGCAACACACACACACACACATTTTGACTTTAGGGCCCCCGCTGCGAGGTCTGTACCATGTCTGAATGGCTTATTTATTTTAATATTCACCTGTTCTATGCCTGACTCACCCATGAGAAACGCACGGTCCCTGAAGGCAGGGGCCTCGCTGCCCCCCTCCTCATCTCCCTGCCTGCTATCCTGCAGTTCTGACAAGACGTTCCCACGCTGCCACGAGCTACTCTGTGTCCTTTCCCTGGCCCCAGGGCGCCCCGGCCGAGCACTCCTGCAGGGCAAGGTGAGAAGTGCTCTGAAGCGCAGAGCTGAGGTTCCTGGGGCTCCAGCTCTTTATTGGCAGCCAGGGTGTGAGGGGTGCGGTTCAGCCTGTAGGGCCGACGATGTCCGATGTCTGGGGAGTCCCTGTTCCCAGCTCCTGCACAGCCACCAGCTCTAACCCAACGCAAGCCAACATGACAGGCAAAGTCTGGAGTGGCAGTGAAGAGCTCCAGGTCCCTCCATTGCCCAGACCTCTGTGCCCCTGCCAGGGCAGGGCTCTCTGCCACTGGCTTCCCGACCTCCGGGCCCCAGCTCAGGCGGCCACAGCGAGACGTGCACACACCTCCCTCACCTCTCCTCTCTGAGCCCCGTGATGCCTCCTTACTGCGACAGGCATCTCTGCTGATTTTTTTTTAATGGAAGTAGTACTGGGGATAGAATCCAAGACATCATGCGTGCTAAGCATGCGTGCTACCCCTGAGCTGCAACCGCCACCCTCACCCCCTAGCACTGAGAACCTGAGGCCTTGGGCCATCACATCTGTGAGAACCATCCTCCCTCAGCCCTCTTCAGCTGCTGGATTCGGTCAGCGTACACAGCGGTGATACCTGGACTCAGGGATAACACGGGAGGGGGTGTTGCCCTCGTCTCTCCCGGGCAGCTCCTACGGCGCCCTGGCCCTGGCCAGCCCTGTGCAGAGGCCACCTCCATCACTCACCGGGATGAATCCCGTCCCATAGTTTCAGGTTTCGATCTGTGGAGGACAGCACTCTCCTAAACTGGACCGACCTCAACACGAGTGTATAATCTCGACACTTCATCACCATCTCACTCGGAACGTGGTGAAGACAGGGCTTACTTCCACTCCATCCCCACAACAGTTCTCCGTCAGAGCGCTGTGCCTGCCTTCCACAGGATGGAAACTGGCCTGCGACCACTCTTCGTCCTTTGTTGCTTCCATCTGACTTGACAGAACTGTCTGATTCTTCATTTTGTATTTAATCTACACTTGAACCACAACCTCTGAAATAAACTCATAAATTAGACCCTATTCTTTGGGCAGGAAGACTACAATTTTCCATCCTGCTGTCACTTCAACTCCAGGATCACTCCTTTAATGTTCACGTTAAATGATGCGGAGGGTATGGTAACTTCAACATCTTGCTTTCTGAAAAACAGGCGATGGCTTCCTGCCATCCAAATGATACATTTTTATTTTCCAGCCTGCCATTTACTTGTCTGATAACCTTATTTTTCACCCCTAAACCATCTCTCTTCACTGCCTAGGCAGCTCCTATTACCTCTTTAATCTGAAATCCCTACTAGCATTACTTCCTAAAGCTAGAATGCCTTTCATATACTTCTCCATTTTTCATGACACTCTAAAAATACGACTTTCCTGCATACCAAGTAGTCATGATCTTTGGTCAGAGTATGGGTTCCCAATGAGAGTCCTGGCTACAAGGGGTTTTAAAATTCTTGTTCCTTCAACTGCAGTAGACTTGTTTAGTGCTCCTAGAGCATCGGTGTGCCCGGCCATCACACTCCACGACCTCCAGGCCCTTTTCCTGGAGTGACACGTGGGACAGTCATCCCCATCATAGTATGTGGTTCCTTTTGAGGAAGTCTCTGAGGGTCCATAAATCCAGTTACTCATGTGGCTTCCACAGTCACACATATCTTTAAACTCTCTCAGACTAACAAGATGTAAGGGTTAAGGTGCCATGAATGGGCCACTCTGCACAGGGTCTCCTTCTAAGCAGCTCCTGCCCGCTTCGCGGAGAAGGGTGCACACTAGATGGTTTGCTCCACAGGTTCATGGTCCCTCTAAGCAAATCCTTTAGTGCTTTCTACATCTTTGTCATTCTAAAAACTTCTCCGAAAATATTTAAAGTTGAGGAGAACATTACTTTAAACTTAAAGATAATTAAA